TGCCCTTCCCCGGAGCCTGACCCGGGGTCTTGACCACGGAATCCAGCTGCTGGGGGGCTTCGTGCAGGTGGGGTGGGAGGAGTCCGTTCCCACCAAGGCTCCCTTGCGCGAGTCTAGATCCAGCTTTGGCCCCCTCCGGGCTGCCTCAGTTTCCCTGTCTTCGTTGGGGGGAGACATCGAGGCCGAGATGGTCCCCCGAGACTGCAGTGCTGCCCTTTCTGAACGAGGCTGACCTCCTCGGAGTGGTGCACTTTGAACTTTTCAGGGCTGGACGCCTCAGACAAGTGACTCCACCAGCCCAGGTCTGTCCGGTAACGTCACGCGGTGTGGCAAGGACTGTGATTGTGCCACCGAAGGGCCTGCTGTTGAGGAAGGAAAGTGGAGGCACTTTCTAAACCAAAGCTGGGTCCAGCGGTTCTCAACCTGTGGGTCGCGACCCCTTTGGGGGCCGAACGACCCTTTCACAGGGGTCGCCTAAGACCATCGGAAAACACATATATAATTACATATTATTTGGGGGATGAATCACTATGCTTTCATTATGTTCAATTTGTAACAGTGAAATTGGGGGCCACCACAACATGAGGAACTGTATTAAAGGGTCGCGGCATCAGGAAGGTTGAGAACCACTGGTAGATGGAAGGGGTTCGCTTTCACACAGTAATGGTCCATCACTTTGGGAGCCAGGCGAGACCGAAAGCGTCCAGGTTCCCAGCTGCGTAGGTCCTATCATACTCCAAGCCCAAGGTTTCAACCCCTGCGGCCATGGGGGTGGAGGGATTCCCAGTGTTTGCTCAGAGTTTTAATTTACTCTGAAACGCTGGTGGTGCTGGCAGGAGGCAGCCCTAGAACATAATCTTTTTCCTTCAGGAAGTTTGTCCGCTGACCGCTGACATTTTCTTCCATGTAATTTCATCTCAATAATGTAAACTACTTCCCCTTTTTTCATATATATATGAAAAAAAGTATATATATATATATACTTTTTTTTTTCATGGCCTTTGGATGTCTACAGGTAGGAAATCTTTCTTCCTTCCTCAGTTGTGATTTTGTGAGTGAGACTTCCTTTTCCTCCATGGAAATTATGCCTTCCTATAGTAGTTTCAAACTAAAGATGAGCAATCGCTTTTAAATCCCTCTTCCACAATGGTTTATTTTCCACCACCGATAGAGTTTGCATTTCCTAGGGTGACATCCTGCTCTGTGGCTCCTCTATGAGGTGAGAAGACACTTGTGTCCAGGTGTGACATTTTCCTGATGTCTAGTTAGTGGCATCTGTTAGAGTTGGTTTTCCACATATTCACTCATTTATGATTTTTTGAAGCTTGTTGCTTTTCAACAAAAAGCTGACTCGTGTTTCCTGTTTTTCTGGTCTTACATTTCATGGGTCTTTTAAAAAAGGATCACTGTGGTGATTTTGTAAGGTTTCTCGTTTTCCAGGATAACACGTTGTCCTGACCTACTGCCTAATGTCTGTCTGTGACCTGCTTTGGGCTGTTTACACAAGCCCTTCATTATTTCTGTACTCCCTGATTATTTTTAAGTTATTGATTATAGGAAGTGTCCTAGCATACTCTGTGTGGACTTTTTCTGCTTTGTCAGCAAAATAACTTTTCACTTAGTAAATTGGCTAAGAATCAAGAGGAAATAAAAACTTCACTTTTTGTATAATAGTCTGCTACTCTGTAGTGAATAGGGAAGAACAACAACTCTGAAGTATGTTTTGGCAAGAGAACAACAAAAAAATCGTTGTGGGTTCCTGAAGTGCATTTACAACAGTTTATTTCAACTCATAAGCTTAATTCAGTCTGTCAAGAATTGCCTATACCAGTGATGGCGAACCTATGACACGCGTGTCAGGGGTGACACACGAACTCATTTTTTTGGTTGATTTTTCTTTGTTAAATGGCATTTAAATATATAAAATAAATATCAAAAATATAAGTCTTTGTTTTACTATGGTTGCAAAGATCAAGAAATTTCTATATGTGACACGGCACCAGAGTTAAGTTAGGGTTTTTCAAAATGCTGACACGCCAAGCTCAAAAGGTTCACCATCACTGGCCTATACCTTCCCTAATAATAATTTGTTATAATGAAAGGAGACGTCACGTTGCATCCTTTAAAATACAACTCTCTTGGACACTCTAATAGCGATCTAGTTTGAGAAGTTATTAGGAATTCTTGAGGACGGAAATCACTACTTTAAATTGGAGATTTTCTGCTTTGTGGTGGGATCTTTATAAAGTAGGAGGTGATAGCCACTGGGTTGCACCACAGATGGGAACCACAGTGGAACCAGTAATGTATTTCAAAAGAGTTATTTGGGGAAGTAAACTCTCAATTTAGCTTCTCTCAAATATTTGATATTTTCGAGGCATTTACCATTGAAATTGCATGGTTATCCCCTCCCACCCCCCGTATTCAAATTAGAAAATTGAAAAATAGAATAGTCAGGAAGTAGTGAACCAAAACTTGGGCCACAGCCTTTAGGAGACTTACAAGTTTTAGGAGTGTAAAAGAAAGAGCATTTTCCCATTGGTTTATCTATTCAATAAGTCAGCTTCTGAAATAGTTATCTTGCCAATCTTTATGGTTAGAAAAAAAGCACATATTTGTTATACTTCACTCAGTGTCCATTCCAAAAGGAAATGCTTGCTTGCTGTATTTTTTTCAGCAAGCAAGAGCATGTTTAAGAGCATATTTAACTGTGGATAACTGTGATACATACAGGGCTAAATGAGGTAAAGTTAATCTTATAAACAGCGGGGGGGAGGGGGGGGCTCCCCTTTCTCCCTTTCTGAGTTTTTGAAAACCAAGAATGCATTTTAAGATAGCAAAGAATTGATGCCCTCCTTAAGTTTGTTAAGGAATGAACCCTGCTCATAGCTTTCTTATTGCTTGAAATTATAGTTTCCAGGCATAATTTCATGGGCCCTATACACATCAAATAGAAGGTTTGAAATACCTTACTTGGCCAGTTTATTATTACCTCATAGTTTAATGTTACAGTGTTAGCTTATTCTCACCCCTTCTACCTTCTGAAGAATCACATTTTCTCTCCGGTGATCCCTTGGTGCCTTGGTTCCCAAAGTCTGACTCCTACCCTGCCCCACCCACCTTGTGGGAAGAGCAGCGCCTTTTTTCCGATTCTTATTGCTTCATCGTTATTCATACTTACACATGCCTAAGGGCTACTTATTCATAACCTACCAAGTGAATCATTAAGAGCTGCTAAAACATGGTGTTCATAACCAAAACCAGCCCACCAGAGCTTACTGCTGTCTGACACCTTGTTCTCCCAGGACGCCTGGCCTGGGAACCTGGCACCGGGCAAAGCTGCTTGCGGGTCACGTGCTCATGTGCGGAGAGC